ATATATATATATATATATACATATGTATATGTATGTGTATATGTATATATAAATGTATACACACACACACACACACACACACACACATATATATATATATATATATATATATATATATATATATATATATATATATATATATATATATATATAGACAGATATAGATATAGATATAAATATAGAGTATATGTATGTATATATATGCATGGATACATGTGTGTGTACATACATATATATATATATATATATATATATATATATATATATATATATATATATGTATATATATATATATATATATATATATATATATATATATATATATGTATTTATATACATATATACATATAGATATACATATATGCATTAACACATACATATATGTATGTATATATATATGTATATATACATATATGATTATATAAATATATATGAATATATATATATATATATATATATATATATATATATATATATATATATATATATATATATATATATATATATATATATGTATATAAATAAATAAATAAAATATGTACATTTATATATATATATATATATATATATATATATATATATATATATATATATATAAATATTTATATATATATATATATATATATATATATATATATATATATATATATATATATATATTTATATATATATATATATATATATATATATATATATGAATATATATGTATATGTATAGATATATACATATGTGTATGTTTCACTGTTTGCTTGTGATTGTTTTTGTTATAGTTGTGTTTTGTTTCTATTGATGTTTGTTATACGTTTTATGCCACTGTAATTTGATTTGAAAAGAAAAAAAATATATACATACATAGATTTTTACATAAGCCTTACTTCCTGAGTAACAATAATAATAAAATTGATGATAACGATAAGGTGAGGTAAGGAATGGTGATATAAAAATAATGATGATAATGATTACGATGAAAATGATAGTGCTTACGAAGTAATAATAACGAATAGAATACTAATAATAATGATAACAACAATAATGATATTGGCAGTATTGATAATAATAAAGATAATGATAATAACGGTGATAATAAAGAAGTAATAATTATGATGATGATGAAAATGATAATCATGAAAATAATTATAATGATAATAATCATGATAGTGATAATGGTAACGAAAATACTACTACTACTAATAGTAATAATGATAATAATAATGATAATGATTATAATAAGATTAGTAATAATAATAGTAATAATAATAATGATAATTACTATAATATTCTTGATGATAATAATGAT